TTATCATTATTATATTCTAAATTAATATATTTTTTTTTACTTTTATATGTATGAAATTGTATTGCTTTCGTCTTTTTTATATTAATTTGTAAATTATTGTCATTCATCCAATTAATAATGTCAGATATTGTATTGTTAATGTCAGACTGCAATATGTCAATGTCTTTATTTTGAAAAAATAGAGTACAATCATCAGCAAAGAGAAAGCATTCGTTTTTAGTCACATTAGGTAGGTCATTTATATATAATAAAAATAGTAGAGGTCCTAATACACTCCCTTGTGGTACTCCATTTTTTAAGTCACTGTAGTCTGATCTCACTTTTGTTTTAATATTGTTCTCTAACCTTGTGATCTCTGTGCATTGTTTGCGATCTCGTAAGTAGCTGGTAAGCCAGTCAGCTGCTTTTCCTCTTAAGCCACATTCAAAAACCTTTTTCAATAATATGCTATGATTAACCCGATCAAAGGCTTTCGACATATCTAAAAACACTGCTAAATTAGGTATTTTATCATTTATACTTTCAGTTACCTTTTTGACAAGATTAAAACAAGCCAGTGTGGTTGATTTTCCTTCCTGAAAACCAAACTGCTCATTTGCTATAACTTTATTCTGTTTAATAAAGGATAAAATTCTTTTGGCCATTATTCTTTCAAATATTTTTGCTAATACGGGAATGAGAGCGATAGGTCTATAATTATTCATATCACTCTCATCTCCCTTTTTAAATAGTGGTTTAACTACCGAGTATTTAAGCCTTTCAGGAAATTTACCATTTTGCAAAGATAAATTAATAATATGAGCCAAGGGAATTTCAATGCTCTTACAACATAATTTTAAAGTGTCAGTGTTAAGGTCGTCATAACCTACAGAATTTGTATTTTTTAGACTTCGTATAGTACGACCTACTTCTTCCTCCGAAGTTGGGGTGAGATAAATACTATTTCTGACAGTCAAATGATTAGTTGTTTTCTTACTACAATGAGGATTGATTAATTACCGTACATATTTAATTATAACTTCTCAGTTCAGTCTCTTAAATCACGTGTCTCTCTCATTACGGGATGTTGGCAAAATTTCCGTGTATAACGGAACAAGTCCATATAAAAAAAAATAAAAATAAAAAAAAATATAAAAAAAGTATTTAAAAAAAATAAAGAAACTACAAAAATTTATGTCACTAGATGGCAGCACAAATTGTTGGATCTAAACGTCAATTCATGACGTTAAACCAAAGAGAATAGAATTGTCAGTGTTGTCATGGATCTGATAACTCGGATTAATATCGTGTTGAAATTTAACTACTTTTCTTTCTTCTTCGAAAAGCCATTAATTAAAGAAGAAGAAAGAAAAGTAAAGAAATTTAACTAGTAATTCGAGTTATGCAAAAGCAACTCGAATAATACAAAGTAATCTTTGAATAAAATTATTTTTTATTTGTATAGAGAAAAATGGAAACTAACATAATGGAAGTGAGCACAGAGGTTTTTTAAATTTACTGAAATCAATTTAATTAATGTTGTGATATAATCAAAAGTGGCATTTAGCTACGGTATACAATAATATTACTGCCAAATAGTTTTTATAAATAAAATAGGTACTTTTACCATAGTAGGTCTAGGAATTTTCATTATGATATTTAACAAAAGTTCTGAAAATAATAACAACTAGGTAAATTAATTTTATTGCTATAAGTTGTTTGTTGAACTTATAGCAACAAAACTTCATCACTCAATAATATTTTTATATTGTGTATGGTGAATGGTCATGAAAACGATAATTATAATAAAAAATCCATTAATTATCTATATACTACCCGTGTATCAAATATACTATGTATTCGTACAAAATAACATGACTGCTGGCTAAAATGACGTTTGTGCAAAGTGTAATGTGCAAATAACTTGTGCTTCCGAAATTAAGACTTTAAAAAACTATGATCAGTTATTAAGTCTTATATTCATAATTAAATCATCTAAATAAATATTCAGCAATCAACAAGAAACGTCTGTTCTAAACAAACAGCAAAGTTATAACTTTAAATTTTAAAATCACAAAGACTCGTACAGTTATTATACTATTGCTACTGATCTTGCATGTCGACGGTGGACATCGAGCCATGTGTTAAGTTGAAAATCGTGTGCGTTATGTGGTTACGTTCCCTCAAATAGAGTATAGTTGAGTTGTATAGTTGAAATTAAAAAACCAGCCCTTGCTGAATTTAAATTATTATTAACAATTCTCCAGGATGCGCGACATTTGTTTTTTGAATAAAGGATAGTTTTGGAGTTGTTTATCCTTTGCGCCTTATTCATGGTTGTTTGTAAAATTTTAGAATACTTTTTAAATTTTAATTTATTATGTAATTTATTACAAATATCTGACTTAATATATTTATGGTATAGCAATCGTTTCTGTTTACAGCTATTTCTTATGCCCTTTGTTATCCAGCTAATTTTTCTATAGTTGTTATTTTGTCTTATTCTTAAGATTGGAAAGCATTGGTCAAACAGCAACTTAAACATGTCATGAAATAAATTGAAAGACTTATTTGTATCTGATTCTTGTAGAACGTCATTAAAGGATAAGGATTTTATATAATTATAGAATTTAAATTTATTTTCACAACTAAAATCTCTTTTGAATTCCGTCCAATGTGTAATAATATCCCAATTTTTTATGTGAAAAGATAGTATTTGGCATGTGTTATGATCCGAGAGATACAAGTCTTCAGTCATTCCTATACCGTCTCGTATATTACTCACAACCACATCAAGACACGCATTTTTTCTTGTAGGTGTTTTAATGTTATATAATATTTTCCAAACTTCTATATATATATTATTTTCAAAACCACTACGATCGCCAACTTGTGCAACAGCGTCATGACGGCCGATTACCCATCAAAGAAAATCCATGGCAAAAGTACGGTTGACATTATAGCAAGTTAACTTGCTTTCTTACAAAGAGTTTATTTAAAAACATATTGAAAATGACAAGGTGAGTAATGTGTTATTAGTGGTTACAAATACAAACAAAAATTGAAAAACTTAATGTCACAAAAGGCTGTATGAGCTTTGTTCTTTTCCTTTGATTAGGAAAAATTCTACTGTCAACGTCAATATCAGCAGCCAGCAGTGTTACCAACTGTGAAATCTAGCGGATAGTAGAAATCTTTTAAAATCACGGTAGTTTTTTCAAAAGTATGGCGTATTTTTAATTTGAAATACGGTAGAACTACCTTGAATATTTAGCATTACGTTTTGGGTCATAGTAGAAAAAACGCTTTATTTTTAATTAGAATCGGACATTTAATTTATTAGTTGCAGAGATAACACTGGTACATTATCTGGGTTCCCCAATAATAGCCACAGAGCCACAGAGTGTCATGATATGCATTCATGTCTTAATGAACCTGTGGTAAAATTCATTATTATTTTTTAGCTTGGATATATTACCAAAGATTATAGCGTTAATTTTCGCTATTTTCAAAACGAATCTGTTTTAATTTCAAAATTGGATGAATAATTTACTTTTTAGTAGTGGTTAAATTAGCTTCCAGCGTTTAAATTAGCACGCTATTCTCTCTAACGATTAACACTCCTAAGAATTTCACGCGCTAACATGATTCACGCGTGAAATTCCAAAACGATTCAACGACCAAACGAACGAACGAAACTAGACCGCAGCTGCGTAAGCGTGAGCGCAATCAGACGTGTCATTGCTAATGCTCGGAGCACGCTAAGTAGCTAATTATTATGCGCAATCCTATCACCTGTGTTTTTACAATAAGCTTTGATGTAAAGTATATATTTTAGATTAGAAGTATGTTTGTGTATATATATATATTATAAACGGTTGTATTGCGGCGGTTATTTTGTGAGTAAATAACGTGAATAAAATATATAATAGTACATTCTTGTACATAAAATCAATGAACTTTTAAATACGCCTAGAATTGAATTATACACATTCCGAAGCCTGTATAGCATGAAGGGGAGTTTATCGATTTTCTTTGAATTTAGTATGTACTGCTTTAATATATAGATAGAATATTCTTTATTGTACACACAAAGACAAAATACATTGACATATGACGAAAATAGGAGACGTACAACTGGCGGCCTTATCACTAAAAGTGATCTCTTCCAGAAAACCTTGGGATGGAGTTAAATATAAAAGACCTAATGATGGGGTAGTGGATGGTGTAGTACATATAAACAATTTGTAAATATACATAATTGACAATTGTTATTTACTTATTATAATTTAATTTTATAATAGACTTACATATACTATAATATAATTTATTACTAACAATTAAGATTAAATAATAATGAGTTGTTGTTTAATATAGCACGTAATCTATTTAATGTATAACATAAAATAATTGGACCGATCACGTTGGAGATCTTTGGGGGAGGCCAGGGGAGGATATCTATGCCCAGCTGTGGGCGTGTCTCAGCTGATATGATGATGATGATAAAATAATTAACGTGTTGCAAGATTTAGCGTGCTACAAAATTTTACAAATCTTCAGGCACCCTTACGCTTCTTTGAATTAACTCGTAATTAATTAGCGCCTTCATTAACACGTTAAAAAAATATCATTAGTCTATAGCGCGTTAATGAGTTTTAATCGTTTTGAACACTTCTGAATCCTTTACCCAGATTAGTCACTATTAGCAAAAAACGAATAATAATGTTGCTTCGTTAGTTTAACCAAATTATCCTAATAATACCAATGTTGCTATGTCACTATATTGATATTTTATTCTTTTTGTAAATATTACCTGTTTTTCTCGCGATTCGTCGCTACATATGTGTTATTACGTTATTCTCTAATTTAGTATTTTATTTATTCGTGTCTATACAGTTTGACATATAACAGTAGAAACCTGAATAAAAAGGAGAACTAAAATTAATTTTATTTAAAATTAACGCCAGACACTCTACACTATCAACATGACGTTAAATGGATTTCTATGAAAATTGTTGCCCTGTTAAACGACAGGGGCGCTTTATTTATTTTCTACTGTTTGGTGTCGCATTGTACCTACTAAGATCGCAAAAATATGTTGTCATATTTTTGGAGACGGGTTTGGTAGGTTTACCATTTTTGAAACGGTCACCCTGGTCGTGTCATCGTCATGATCTTAGTTCGAGGGCTATGGACTAATTTATTTAGAAAAAAACAAATTGCAAAGCCGATATTACTATTCACTTTAAAAATGGCCAAAAGTAGTTTTGAATATGTTAAAAATTTCGAAATAGATGACACACTTATACCGAATACCTGGATAGTAGTTCGTATCGATGGAAAATGTTTTCATAAGTTTTCCGACGATCATGATTTTACGAAACCGAATGACTTGCGAGCTATAAAATTAATGAATTACGCTGCTTTTACTGTAATAAAAGAATTCAATGACCTACTGATGGCCTACGGGCAGAGTGATGAGTATTCTTTCATATTCAAGAAAGATAGCAAACTTTATAAACGTCGTGCTGCTAAACTGTTGACCACAATCAACAGTAAGTTTTCTTCCACCTATGTATATTATTGGAGTAAATTTTTCGGAGAACAGAGATTAAAATATCCTCCTACATTTGACGGCCGGATAGTTTTATATCCCTCTGAGGAAAACTTAATAGATTATATGAAATGGAGACAAGCAGATGTTCATATAAATAACTTGTACAACACAACATTTTGGACTCTCGTTTTAGAGGGTAAATTAAGTCCAATGCAGGTAAATGTCTTGTGCTAGAATTTTTTATGAAGTTTTTTTTCATATTGGTTAATTCTGTGTTAACTGTTACAGGCAGAAAAGCGTCTTTGCGGCACTTTATCAGCAGATAAAAATGAAATCCTTTTTAGTGAATTTAATATTAATTATAACAATGAACCTGAAATTTTTAGAAGAGGAACATTATTGCTTCGTAAAATGGTGCTAGATTCTTGTAATGATAAATTGAAGACTTTAATTGTGGATACTCATTGTGATATGTTAAAAAATAAGTTTTGGGAAGAACATGCTTGTCTATTATCACTAAAATCATCACAACAAAAGTTAATGTATAAAGGACCTATTACAGAAATTATTGAAGAACAATTACTTAATGCTGATAATAAAAAAATATCAAAGTCTGATAACTATTGATAAACAACATTTATAAACATCTTTACAGTAATTTTAAAGGGCTTGGAAATTGATTACTTTTAAATAAAATAAACATTTCAGTAGGTGTAATGCATTGGATCCATAAAGATATTATATTGGATTTATAAAGATTTTATGCCTTGTTGAATTGAAACACTGACCAGTTGAAATAAAGTCTACTGCCTGTATTGTGTGATATTTTTTTAATAACCAATTGAATTTACACTTTTCCGTAGATTGTTTCATTAAAAAATGCATTTTACTGCTGAGGTACAAGCTTTCCCTATGGTAAAAAATTGAATTAAAAATAGAGAGTGGGCAATAACCCATCATATGGACCCATTAGCTTATCATGCTTTTTGAAGCATAGAGGAGCTATGCATGCATTTGAGTTTCTTGTATAGTATATAAGTTTCACATCCCTTGGCTCAGGCTTGGTTATGGAATATCAAACCTAATATGTGTTCATGGGCAATTTCGCCCTGGCGCACTCATGGCCATATCAAACGATAGCCTGAACCAGAACTTCATTTTGGCAAATCATATCAACAAAATACTTTTCATAATATACAAAATAAATGTTGTAAGTGAATAAGCAGTTGAGAAATACTCAACTGATTTACCCAGCACATTCGTAATAAATAAAATGCTTTATAACATACATACATTTTTTTTATTTAAACATGGATCTACAATATTAAACTCATTTAATTAATTAGGCATATCATTAATGGGTATGAATTAAAATCTGTTGCTATGCTGCATAAATAGCTTAATATACAGTATGTAATAACATATATTATCTGCCTTTTTTATAATAATTATACTAGATTTTCCGATTTTTGGAGTAGCATTGCTCAATTTGCCACATAGTCAAGATATCCCATAAAACTACAAAATTTCCGTCATACAGATTTGTAAAATGCAATACAAAAAAACCTGGCTGAATTAAAAGTTTGTTGGCATACTTACATTTGATATATTTATTTCCTTTAACAATAATCCTCAAAAACCATGTCTAAATTATATTTTCGCCACACAAACTGCTTACAAAAATGTTTAACATAATGTTTTGTGTTGTTTACTACAATAAATTACAATTATATTAGTATCACTGAATTACTTTTAATGAAATACTGTTTATCATCTTTTGTTATAAGCAGTTTAAATTCTTTATAATCAAAAATCTACATAGGTCTTTCAATATTTAAATATTTCAATTTGATATATTATTTACAGACTTCCTCACTAAATTAAGGTATTATTTTCCTGAATCCAATAAACACTTATGTGCAATAGGATAACACTAATTGATTAAATACAATTAACAAAGCTATAATATATACTTGGAAAAATCATTATTTAGAAAATAGGAATGTAATTATCAATTTTTGCACGGTGTTTCTGAGCGACGCATTCACTTATCCATACAATGTTGCGACATTCTTGTTCTTTTAATTTGAGGTATGAATAAAATACTCCAAAGTGGAACTGCTGGAGAAAAGCATGCACATTTAGGCTGACCTGAAAGGAAAGAAATATTTTGATTAAATCTATCTATATAATAATAATAATAATTTTTTATTTGCCTTAAACATGGTATAAAGGTGTTAAAATTGTACAAAATCCTCATGTTTCGCCATTTTCAAATAGCATGCAAATCATTATAATGGAATCTAATGCAGTCACAATTATTACAATAAAATTATTTAATTCTTATTATGTTGAAATTACATGTCATGTTAAAAAAAAAGTCAATGTAATATTCTAATTTCTTTTGTTCAAAAATTCGCTAATACTATAAAAATTATTACAATTTAGCCAAGCATATAATTTTCTTTTAAACAATCCAGGCGTTAAATAAAACATGACATGGTGCTAATTGTTGGGAACTTTTCATAACTGATATTTATTATTGGTCATTCGTAATCAATCACAGATAACCTCTAATAGATACCTCATGATGACTATTTTGTTAAAAGAATAAAGATGTCAATCTTAGCGTTGGGATAGGTGGCAGGCAAAGTACTTAAGTTAACCCTATAACTACTTAATTATAAAGTAGTCTTGGATATATTAAAGATTAGCTTGAATTGATTGTCTCACCTCATGTTCAAAGAATTTGTCTTCGAGTGTCTTGTCACCAACATTATTACCAGCCCCTTCAAACAGTGCAGAATACTCTGCATAATATTCAGCAACCGCCTTTACTTGCTCATAATCATCGGCTCTGGCCAAAGCTGCTAATCCATCAGGGTTCAGTTTGCCGCAACGTGGGTAAAGTTTAGCACGATCATCTTTTGAGAGTTCAGTGCCAAATGAATTAATGGTGATAATTATTGCACGACGATCAGCTTCAAACTGTAATGTTATAGAAAACATTTTCCATTTACAATGTTTTATTGATATTTATTACCTGGGACAGGTTAATTTTTTAAGCATTTCTTTAAAATTAACATGAGATTTATCTTTTATAAAATAATTAGCTTTCCGCCAGCCGCTTCGCCCACTTGGTCTTGCATTATACATCAAAACCATTTCAAATCAACCCTATCTATGAAAAAAAAACTGCACTAAAATTTGTTGCGTAGTTTTCAAGATTTAAGAATACATAGGGATATAAGGACAGAGAAAGCGACTTTGCTTTATACTATGTAGTGATGATTAACTATAAATTTCAAAGTAAAATTATAACTTACTGCTAAAATTTCACACATTACATCTGCAGTAGTTCCACCAATTTGCTTGCAGAATTCATAAAAAGCTTCCAAATATGCTTTATACAAAGTATTACGGATGATTTCAATGTTCATCTCATCCAAGTCTTGCTCACTTATGCAGTCAACAAAAAATGGTGCAAGGGGTGTATCCACCAACACTGCATTATACAATTCAGCTGGAGTAGCAGCCACATGAATAGCTTCCATCTGTTCAAAGGAGCCCAAAGGGTGACATTTTGGAATCAACTCAGAAATAGGTCTTTGATGCAAAGTGCCTGTTATCAGTAAAATGATATTGTCAATCATGTAACTGTACGTAATAAAGTCCAAAAATGTAGAAAGTGGTTCTACAGAGTGGTTCCTAAGATGTTGAAATTCAATAACAAGCTTCTCACGAAGCTTATCATCAATGGTAGATACTGAAAGAGGGCTTGGTTCATTGGCCAGAAACGTTCCATAATCTGTGCCTTGCAAGTGGAGCTTTAAATCTGTAATGCACAAAATGGAATAGTTCAGCGTTACTGTATTAAATAAATTGTTGTTGCTAAATCAAAGATAATGTAATTTTAATTAGCTTAGTCATTTAATTGTTTTAATCGAACTTAAGCTGATTGCTAAGTACAAAAATAGTAGAGAGAAGATGGGTTACAGCAGACGACCCTGATGGACATATTATTAGACAATTTATTATAATTCAATCAAAATAGTATTCACCTTCCAACGTTTCGCACTGCACCAAGTTCAAGTAGTCAGATTGTTTGAGGATGCCACACTTGAATCCACGACATAATCCCTCCAAGTATCCAGCATCAATATTGAAAATGCACCCTTTCATTTTGTTAGAATCACTTCCTAATATTTTCACGAAATAAAAGGGCACAACTATTGACTATTCCGATGGTGATTCAAAGACAAAAAACATGAACGATCATATGATATACTATAGATAATATAAAGCTCTATGACTAGAAGTGAGGGAATGGTGTGTACATTGAGTAAACAAAACATTTTTTAATATTTATAGAGTATATTTATATGTAGGTATAGTATTTATTAGAATTCCAAGTACTTGTATGCCAATGAACGAAGGTCAACGAAAAAATAGCGAATGGGTCCTACAAAGTTCTATTGTTGATAACACTTTATAGAGCACATTCACTATTTTTAACGCTAAGGACAAGGCTGCATAGTCAACAGATCTTTACCTCAATAGGAAATAAATTATAAAACTGTCAAAAAGAGTACCTATCAAGCAGTTTGACAAAAAGCAGTACCTAATTTGAGTTTTTGTTTGGCAGCATTGTTGCGACGCAAAGTGCCCAAAGTGCCATTAAAGTTAAGAAGAAGAGAAATATTGTAGACAGTTAAAAAAACAACCTATCTATGCGTGAATCTTAATCAAACACTATTCATTACTTTTAACTATATTAAACGGGCTACATTTCTAGTTTACCCTGTATTAACACGTTTTACGTTTTATTTATTCACTTAGTTAAAGATCATTTTTTCAATAAACTAACAACAAAATGAATAAAAACAAAAAACGAAGTTTTTCATCATCAGACTCGGATAGTGCCGAAGAAAGTCGGCGAAAAGATTTAAAGGAACGCGACGAATTTGCTAAAAGATTAAAAGAGCGTGATGAAGAAAAAGTGAAGAAAGTATCTGAAAACTCCAACAGAAGGTCTTACGAAGAAGCCGCCAAACGCTTAAAGTTAGAAGCCGAAGACAGAGATAGACTTTTGCCAAAATTACGCGTACAATCGCGTCGCAAATATTTGGAAAAACGTAAAGAAGACAAAGTTATTGAATTGGAAGCTGATATTGCAGATGACGAATACTTATTTGAAGAGAGCTCGTAAGTAAACAACAATAATAATACTTTTATTTTTGTAACATTTTTATACTTTCATGCAATAAAATAAATATTCAAATCATATTTAAAAAATGTACTTATTTGATTACTTATTTTCAGTTTAACAGAGAGAGAAAAGAAGGAAAGAGAACACAAAAAAACAATATTACAATTAGCTAAGGAACATGAGAAAGCTAGAGAACTTGAAAATGTTCAACGCTATCACATGCCACAAGATTTGGGTAAAGGAGAAAAAGGTAACTTTATTAATATACATGAATTATTGACTTTCATTACCATAGAATACTACAGTTTCATTATCTTTGACTATCAATAGGAAGGATTGGAGTTACAAAATAATATTAGAGATCATCAAACTTCACAAAAATTCAATCCTCAGATTAGAAAACTTTCTAAGGTCATTAATAGATAGTCAAAAAGAATGAAAGTAGGTATAATGCTTTTACTTGAATAATGTTACTACAAAACTACTATATCAGAGGAGGTAGATAAAGATGTACTATAATGCACCATTCAAATTACAGGAGAATATATTGAAGTTGATGAAAATGAAAAATTACCCCACTCCGAACAAAGAAAATGGGAACAGGAACAGATTCGATCAGCATTTTTCAAATTTGGTGCTAAGGATGCTAAAGCTCAAGATGAATATGATTTATTATTAGATGAACAGATCGATTTCATACAAGCATTGCAAATGGAAGGATCGAAAGAAAAAGCAGAAGAAAAGGAGATATCTGAATACAAGAAAATGCGTATGACAATTGAAGAGACCAAAAAGTCCTTACCAGTTTATCCATTTAAAGAAACCCTGATAGAAGCTATAAAAAACTATCAGATTTTAATTGTAGAAGGTGAAACAGGTTCTGGCAAAACAACACAAATACCTCAATATCTTCATGAAGCTGGCTTTACAAAAGATGGAAAAAAAATTGGATGTACTCAGCCCAGAAGAGTTGCAGCAATGTCAGTAGCTGCAAGAGTCGCACAAGAAATGAATGTAAAACTTGGAAATGAAGTTGGGTATAGCATTCGATTTGAAGATTGTACTTCTGACAGAACTGTCATAAAATATATGACTGATGGAACACTTCATAGAGAATTTTTGTCTGAACCTGATCTAGCATCCTATAGTGTAATGATTATAGATGAAGCTCATGAGCGAACATTACATACAGATATTCTATTTGGTCTTGTCAAAGACATTACTAGATTCAGGCCAGATTTAAAGTTACTCATTTCTAGTGCTACTCTAGATGCTGAGAAATTTTCCAATTTCTTTGATGATGCACCCATATTTCGGATACCTGGTAGGAGATTTCCAGTGGATATTTATTACACAAAAGCCCCTGAAGCTGATTATGTTGATGCATGTGTGGTTTCTGTTCTACAGATACATGCAACTCAACCTTTAGGTGATATTCTAGTTTTCTTAACTGGTCAAGAAGAGATTGAGACTTGTGTAGAAATGTTACAAGAAAGAACCAAAAGAATAGGCAAAAAGCTAAGAGAACTGATTATATTACCTGTATATGCAAATCTTCCGAGTGATATGCAAGCAAAAATATTCGAACCCACTCCTGAAGGAGCCCGAAAGGTAGTTTTAGCCACTAATATTGCTGAAACATCATTAACTATTGATAATATAATTTATGTAATTGATCCTGGATTTGCCAAACAAAATAATTTTAACTCAAAAACTGGCATGGAAAGCTTAATGGTAGTGCCCATTTCAAAAGCTTCAGCTAATCAGAGAGCCGGTAGAGCTGGAAGAGTGGCTCCAGGGAAATGTTTTAGGCTCTACACAGCTTGGGCCTATAAATATGAGCTTGAAGATAATACTGTTCCAGAAATACAAAGAATAAACTTAGGTAATGCAGTTCTTACATTGAAAGCGTTGGGAATAAATGATCTTATTCATTTTGACTTCCTGGATCCTCCACCCCATGAAACACTAGTCTTAGCTTTAGAACAATTGTATGCTTTGGGTGCACTCAATCATCATGGAGAATTGACCAAAGCTGGACGACGAATGGCAGAATTTCCTACAGACCCAATGCTTGCAAAAATGATTTTAGCTAGTGAAAAGTAAGTACTATGGCATCTAAACATTACATATTGAAAATATTTCTTTTCACTTCTGATAAAATGTAATTTATTTTATTTTATTTCAGATATAAATGTTCAGAAGAAATAGTTACAATTGCTGCTATGTTATCAGTAAATAGTTCAGTATTTTACAGACCAAAAGATAAAATCATCCATGCGGACACTGCTAGGAAAAATTTCTTCCACCTACATGGTGATCACTTAACCCTCATGAATGTTTATAATCAATGGGTTGAATCTGACTACTCAGTGCAATGGTGTTATGAAAATTTCATTCAGTATAGATCTATGAAGCGAGCACGCGATGTACGTGAACAATTAGCTGGTCTCATGGAGAGAGTTGAAATAGATATGGTTTCTAGTATAGCAGAAGATGCCAATATTCGAAAAGCTATTACTGCAGGTTACTTTTATCATATTGCCAGGTTTTCGAAAGGTGGCCACTATAAAACTATCAAGCACAACCAAGTAAGTTGATTAAAATTTACATAATAGCAGGGCTGATCTAGTTATCATTCACAATGCTACACTGAAAAATATTCTTAATGAAGAATGCTTCTATAATCCGCTTTGTCCCTGGCACTCTAAGATGGGAGTCAAACCCTGGACCTTTCAAATCAGGGCAACTACTCTAACTACTGAACTAGCCAGGACCTAACAGGACTGAAGAAGTCTTCAAGCACTCAAGCACAGTTTTAGCTTTGTTCATTGACTTTTCGCGGGCTTTTGATATGCTAGTTCATAACTGACTTATTGAAAAGCTTGACAGTTGTGGTGTATGTAGCCCGTTACTGAAATGGTGCGAAAACTATCTTAAAAAACGCAAATTCAGAGTCAAGATTGGAAACTCACTCAGTGAACCGGTTGAACAGAATATTGGTATGGACCAAAGTCCGTATGGGGTCCATTACACTTTTTGACTTTGTCAATGAATTGAGTAACAATTTTAATCATTCTTTGTGTTATCAACTTACAGATGATACATGTCTTGTTGTCGCGGGCAAAGACCCGCAAGTAGCTTGTGAGCTTTTACAATCCGATTTTAACTTATTAACTAGGTGGTGCCACAATGATGGCCTAGTGTTAAATTGTGATATAACAAAATTTTTAGTTATTCAATCTCCCTATGTAAAACGCCTTCCTACAAAAACAAAAGTAGCCCATAATCATCCCAACAATAGTGTAACTGCCCTCAAATAGAAGAAGTCAGCTCAATAAAGTATTTTGGGTTATATCATAGATAGTAAATTAAACTGGAGCAAAAATATTGAACACGTCTATAATAAGCTAAGACAGTTTTTTGGCAAATATTGTTATTCTAAAAAATTAAATTATTTTCAAAATAAAACTACTGTCATACCATGCACTGGCCTAGTCCTATGTTCAATACGGTATTAGTAGTTATGGTTGTACCTATAAATATTACTTGAATGAAATATATAAACTACAAATTAGAATACTAAAAAATATAGTTGGTTCATAAAAAAAAAGTATATAGTAATGAGGAAATTTTTCTCTATAAGCATTGCCAAATTCTACCTGTAATGACATAATATAAATATATTTTTCTGAAACTACAATATTTAAATAATAGATTACAAATTGAACATCAACATCCTGCATATTCTAGAGCAGTTGCCAAGCACTGGCTATGTACAGCTTGTGCAAAATATACATGTACCAGGTATACTGTATACCTGGTACTCCGTTTATAACAAAATTACCCTCAGAATGAAGAAAAAATATTACATCAGAAAATATTAAAATTGTTATAAACATAATAAATTAGTACTGATATAGATATAAACAACATTGTCAGAAAACTTCTTTAAACATTGTTAAATGTTTTATCCTGTAATGTAAATAAAAAAAGAACTTGTTACTTTTTTGGTACAACTATTCAATGTTACAGAGGAAAGAAATATTTTAATTTTCAATGAAGAAATTTTTTTTTTAAAATTATTATATCTCTCTTCACATAGATCACGAACATATCTAAGAATAATTTAATATTGATTTTTCATAATTCAAATAAGATGTTTTTTTTTTTTCAGACTGTCATGATTCATCCTAATAGTGCTTTATTTGAAGAACTCCCCCGGTGGGTTATATACCATGAACTAGTGTTTACTTCAAAGGAATTTATGAGACAAGTTACTGAAATAGAAAGTAAATGGCTATTGGAAGTTGCTCCACATTATTATAAATCCAAAGAATTAGAAGACTCAACAAACAAAAAGATGCCCAAAACCATTGGAAAATCAGCAAATAATTAACAACAACAATTATTTATTAATTAAAAAATTCTACTACAATATGTAAATATGTATTATTTCTAGAAATTAATAAATTAACATTTAAAATTCAGTGCTATTGTGGTGTGTTTTGAATCTAAAAGTCTGAGACCCTGCCCTTTCTCTCCCAATCACCATATCTTGTTGGTTCTGGTCCTCTAGGTCCTCCAACTTCACCAGTATTAGGATTGGTGTCGTTTGGCCATGGTGGTAAAGGGTCATCTTTTGGTGCTGGGTGCAAAGATTGTTCACCAAGATCGTTGATTGGGGTCGTTTCCCTCAACTTTTTTCGAAACTCTGCCATTCTTGTCGATTCTGCTTTCTTTGATTCTTTGACATTTTCTCCTACCTCACTGCTGGCTTTTTGTGATAGGTTTGATGATAAGCGATTATATGGTGACCCTGCAATAAAAACACTTGTCTAAATCCATACCAGATGCTTATATTAATTGTGATGATTTTACATTGTATATTTAACATACCTATAACATTGGCAAGTAGCTGGTTTAAACGATGATATCTTTGCATCTCAAAATAATTATGAAAAACCGATAATCAGTTAAACAAATAATTTATTGTATAGTTTATACGATAGAGAATTTATTTTTTAATGTTATCTTGATACAATGCTTCGATCAACAATACAACTTATTAAATGCAACAATCGAAGATACAAATCATTGAGTTTATTTTTTATACATATAAATAGGTACAACGTAACAAAAATCAAATTTTTCTTCGCATTTGCCACAGATTCTTCTTCTTTTTATTTAATTAATGGCGTTGCCCTTATGGATTTCGCCAGAATTCAGTGTTTACAAACTGCTTTTTGTGTGTTGGTAATGAAAGCCTAAGATAAAATTTTAATTTTGTTAAAGTTAAATTTTGCCTACTTGAAAGATTAGAAATTTAAGTATTACCGGTGTTAGAAAATTCTATGACAGACAAATCAAAGAGAAATGTTATACTTATTACTCTTAATACAGGAATAATTTAAAACCACTGCGAAGATTTTGTGAAAATAAACTTTAAGTAATTTAAACAAACACGTATTTTTTATTTTGATATGTTCCAATACTAAAAAATAATGTTATCGCTTATCAAAGATCGAGATTTTAAAACTTAATTTATGGACACCGCGCGCCGTGCGTTAGGTGAGCGCTCGCTCGACGCCGTAAGTATGTACTCGTAGGTACCTATCTACACGGGTCACTGACTGCTCATTTTGTTAGATTCGAATTTATGTCATGATCTGAGGTGATTTCTAAGAGTAATTCCAATTTTTCCTTCATACTTTTATGGTTAAGGCCATCAAAATGCAAAAAAATAAAAGAGAAACAAATTCGTTACTTAGAAAAAAATATTAACGTTATGCCGAAGTTACATAGGTACTTCTGCGTTAAGGCGTATTTAAAAAATGGAATCAACTACGTATTTACAATAATGTTGAATCAAAACAAATACCTAACTAATTACTTACCATGTATTTTAATATTTGTTCAAAATGAATCCCACGTCTGTCCAGACATAAACGTGCACATTTCATTAAATTGTCATTTAATTTATTTAAAACACTAGTGTCACTTTTCACTTCACTAAAAGTGCGTATGAGTCTCACTGCCGCCACTGTCGCGCGCGTCGCTCGGTCCCGGCGGGGCGGCGGGGGCTGTGGCGGGGGGCTACCGGATGCGGCGGGGATGCACGGTGGTATACGCAAGAGAAGACGTTTTCATTGAAGTTTTATTTTAAAAAATGTGTCCATATTCTACCGTTTCGATAGGGATAAAAATATAAAAAAAAATAATTTAAACTAATTATGGAAAAGTGTTCTATTACTGATACTGAATCACCAAAAAAAATTTTTGCACTGGAAAAAAATATTCCTGTATATTCACTAGTGATGTTCCGGATATCCGACGGAAAGTAAAGATCTTTATCCGTATCCGTTACTTTTCTCGCGGATCTTTTACTGATCTTTTAACTTATTAATTTTCAATTGATAGGATGAAATGCTATATATAGGTGATTAGGTAGATTTAAAAAACTATTAAATTTAATTCAGTATTTTTTATTTCTTTAAATCAAATATTTGACACTTTTATATTGCAAACATTTATGATAGTAAGTTACTAATCCAATAGTACATAACTCAAAGGTATTAATCAACTTAAAATATAAGAAAATGAGAAAACCAAAACTTAAATCTTTTATTATAATTATAATGAGATCTAATAGAAAGATATAAGTTATAAGATCACTTTTATAACTATGAGATGATGAGAAAACCAAAAAAAGTCTAATAAAGGAATACTGCGTACCTAGTAGGTACTACCTACCATATAAAGTGTAAATATTAGATTATACGAGTAATATTATAGCATAGATAAATGGTATAGTCTGTTTCCGGTGTACTGTATCCTGTGTGTGCAGGTCTGTGATTGTAATTGTATCTGTGAGCATCATAGGAGAGTAGAAAATTAAACAAATTAAAAACATTAAAGACTTTAATTATAAAACATGGCGCAGTCGTAACAAAAAGTATTTCTGTATAAAGTTTAAAATAGAAGGCAAAGATAGTCTACATCATGGAAGGTCAAGTAAAATTGCCACCCAACTTTGATATACGTTCCGGCAATGCGGCGTCGGAATGGAAAGTCTGGAAAACCTCTTTCGAAGACTACTTATTGTGCACAGGTAAAGATAGTGCCACTGATAAAATCAAGTTGTCTCTATTAAGAAACATGATTGGTATAGAATCTATACGAGTTTTGGCTACTTTACCGATCGAGAAAGCCGATGACTATGCAAGCGTAATGGCGGAAATAGAAAAATATGTATGTCCCAGAATAAACGAAGTTTTTGAAAGGTACAAATTCAATAGTAGATGTCAAAGAGAAAATGAACCGTTTGAGTTATTTCTAACGGATCTCAAATCATTAATACAAACTTGTAATTATAATATCAAAAACGAAAGCATTGAAGATCAGCTAATCAGGGACCGCATTGTGCATGGTGTTTTTGACAAGAATCTTCAAGAAGGACTATTAAGGTTAGAAAATTTAACACTACAAAAGGCAGCTGACTATTGTAGAACAAGTGAGCAGAGTAAAGCACAATTGAAAGTAATGAATCAGGAACTAGAAATCTCCAGTGTCAAAAAACATAAAGTAAAAAAAGAATTATCACGGGACAGTGAAAAATTTAACTGTCGTAGATGTAAAACGGTACATGGTCATCGTGCATGCCCAGCATATGGCAAACGATGTTCCAAATGTGGCATTATGAATCATTTTGCTGTTGCCTGCATAGTCAATGACAGGAAGCCTAAGATTAGAAATGTGCAGAGTCAAGAGGATGCAGAGAATGATGATACAGAATCAGAAATAATGTATTGCGGAAGAGTGAAAGAAATTAAAGGTAAGCTGTGGACGGAAGAGATAGAGATTGAGTCTAAAAAAATCACTTGTAGATTAGATACAGGAGCAGATGTGAGTGTAATGTCACTTAATGTTTTTAAAAGTTTAAATTCATCTTTGGAAATACAACCTGTACGTTTAGAGCTGGAATCATTTCAGGGTAATCGAGTGAGGCCACTTGGTATGGTAAATTTAAATTGCAAGTATGGCAATAATGAATGTTATGAGAATTTCATGATTATAAATAATGATTGTACTTTGCTTGGGTTACCCGGGTGTCTAAAATTAAATCTTGTCAAAAGAGTAAATTCTGTAACATGTGAGTCTTCAGTAGAGAAAGCAGAGTTTGTATGTAAAAACATTGACATATTTAATGGTCATGGTCACTTCCCTAAGCAATGTAGTATTCCTACGAAGGATCATGATCCAATTTGTCATCCACCATCAAAAATACCTTTGACCATGATGGAACCGTTGAAACAAGAATTAGATAGGTTAGTTAAAAGAGGTGCCATAGAGAAAGTTGATGAAATTGATTCTACTGCCTGTATAAACAGATTAGTGATTGTAGAAAAACCAAACAAAAAAATGAGGCTCTGTTTAGATCCAACAGATCTTAATCAGTACATAATACGAAAACCCAAAGTTTTGCTAACAGTTGAAGAAATAGCATGTAAGTTAGAAGGAAAAAATTTTTTTACTGTTTTTGATTTATCTGAAGGGTTCCATCATGTGCCACTCACTAAACAAGCATCGTGGAAATGTTGTTTTGCAACCCCGTATGGTGTATTTAAATATTTAGTTTTACCATATGGTTTATCAAATGCTCCTGATGTTTTTCAGGATCATATTGAATCTTACTTTGGCCAAATACCTAATGTAATATGTTGGTTCGATGATGTGCTTGCAATGGGGTCTACAGAGAAGGAACATGATGAAGCTGTGCAAAGTGTAGTAAGAAAAGCAAGAGAAATAAAAGCTGTATTCAATAAAGACAAACTGCAGTATAAAAAAAAGGAAGTTAAGTATGTTGGACAAATTTTTAATGGTCAAGGTATGAAAATTGATAAATCTAGAGTAGAGTCTTTAATAAAGTTATAGCCACCTAAAAGCAAAGAGGAATTACAAAGAATAATAGGTTCATTTAATTATGTTAGGAGATATGTTCCCGACATGGCAGAATTAATGTCTCCTCTCTGTAAACTCCTGTGTAAAGATGTGGAATTTCAATGGTTGCCTTATCATGAAAATGCCTTAAATTCAATTAAAAATAAGGTATCAGAAACACCTGCTTTGACAGCATTTAATCCTAAAAAAAAAAATAATTTTACAGTGTGATGCCTCAAAAAATGGAATAGGAGCATGTATGTTTCAAAATGATTGTAATAATGTGCTAAGATTAGTAGCTTGTTTTTCTAGAACTATGAACAATTCAGAAATTAATTATAGCCAGACTGAAAAATAACTTTTAGCCATATACTTTGCAACTCAAAAATTTCACAAGTATATTTATGGGTCTCATAGTGTGACAGTACAAACAGACCATAAACCTCTATTGCCATTAATGAAGAAACCGATTAGTAAAATTGGTTCCCCTAGATTAAGACGGCTTAAAATTAAATTGTTAAATTATCAAATTATGCTTGTATATGTCCCAGGTAAAAAAATTCATTTTGCTGATATGCTGTCTAGGAATAGTATATGCAGTTCAGACAATGATTTTGAAATGTTAGAGATGGTACATTCTGTTACCAAGCATCTACCTATGTCTCCAGAGAGAAAGTCAGAATTTCGTGAAAAAACTAGTAATGACAGTATATTAGCAAAAATATCTCAATATTATTATTATGGCTGGCCTGAATTTAATAAATTAGTTCCTGAGTGCAAACCATTTTATAAGTTTAGGAATGACATTTATGTTGAATCTGGACTAATTTTCTTAAACAACAAAATCATTGTTCCACAGTTGCTACAGTCATATGTATTACAAATTGTACATCAAGGACATCCAGGCATAAGCAAATGTATTAACAAAGCCCGCCAATTATTTTATTGGCCTAAAATGTCAAAAGATATTGAGCAATTTATCATGAAATGTAGGACATGTGAAAAATTTAGACCACAAAATTTTCATGAACCACTTTTACCTCACTCTATACCTAAGCATAGATTTCATAAAGTAGGCACTGATATCATGGAAATTGCCGGTAAACCTTATTTGGTGATCATAGATTACCTATCACAT